GATGCTGAGAACCATTCTGTCAGAGCAAACCTTGAGGCTACGACTCTGGACTAGCCATCCAGGCACCTGCTGCCGCCTCCCTGCGTGACCTTGGGCAAATCCCATTTCTCCTCAGGGCCTCGGTCTTCCTGTTTAAACAGAGGATAGTGCCTCTGAATGCCACAGGGAGGCCAACCTGAAACCCAGCTTGTGGAAGAATTCCCTGTGGCCCCAAGATCTCCCTCCACAAGGGAAAAGAGCCGCTCTGGTCGAGCCACCAGGAGGGATCTGCACACAGTTGTTGGGGCCACCAGGCAGAAAGCTGTTCTTGGCACCGACATTCTTCTCTTGGCTTCCGCCCCTCAGCTGCCCTAGGCTGCACCAGTATGTGTTTAGGGACCCCGGGCGGGCCATCTCTTTGGGGCCTTAAGTCCTGTGTCTGATGCAATCACTGTTCCAAGCATTAGTCTTGGGACACCACTCTTCCTTTAACTGCTGCCCACTTTTCTGCCATTTTTCACGGTATCTCTTCAACGGTGACACATGAAGAGTTTGCTGAGCATCGAGGCTGATCAGTACTGGCAAGGACCTCAGAGAGCTGAGGCTCCGTCACCTGCACTAACCAGCCCTGCACTCACTGTGGAACAGGGACCGGACGGGGACTTAGACACAGGGTCCTCGTCCTCAGGAAGCTTTCTGACTTGTGGCACATGCTTACCGCAATGTCTGATCATCTGTGCTCAGTGCGCAAACCATTCCAAGTTGCAAGGAGGCCCTGGAGCCACCCAAGGGGAGGCTGAGGCTTGGAGAAAAGGTTCCTCTCCATAGTTTACTGGTGAAGAACCCAAGTATAAGTCAGACATTCATGGGAGACTCTGGGCAAGTCGCTGTAGGGCTTGAACTCTTAAGTATCTGCTTGTCTGTTTGCTTAAATGCAAATACCCAGCAATCTGTGCATGGGTCTGTGTCTGTCCATGGCAAACCATTTGGCTCGTCTCTAGTGATGGATAGTCAATCCATGCCTCATGTGGTGGTCCAGAGAATCCCCTGGCTTCGTGCATGCTGCGTACTTGGAACAGTGCTCAAGGGTTGGTGCTCAGGGTGGGCATGAGTATTATTACGTTGGCCAGAATGGAACCCAGGCTGTCCAACTCGTAGCCCATCCAGCATCCCCAGGCCATTCTGCCTCCAGGTGCCCCCCCCTCCCCCAGCACTTGTGATGCGCACGCTCCCTTCCTGGGTGGGGTTCCAGCCTCTTCCTAAAATAACCCACCTTTAGGTTTTGTCTGGGCAGTTTCTTCGCCCAGGCAACTTCTCAGGGTCCCCTCCGACCCACACCTGCACGTCTGCTCAGGGAAGACTCCCCGAGCTTGCCCCAACCCAGTTTCTTATAAATTGTGGGAGCCTTGGGGGTCCTCCTCAGAAAATGGTGTGCCAGTCTGGAGCTCACAGCAAACCCTTCCTCTGTCAAGGGCCAGGCCTGGGCAGGGCCCTTCATGAAGAGTTCCAAGAGTGCAGAGTTCCTGCCCTCCAGGAGCTGAGGAGACAAATGATTATGCAAATGAGTCCTTAGTGATGGGCACAGGGTACTGGGAGAGGTAGGTTCAGTGATGAAATAAAGCCTGCAACAAGCTGGTTGCTGAGACGGAAACACCCAGCATGGAGGCCTGCGGCAGGCTGGTGGGGGCGGCAGTGACAGTGGCTGTGTGGCTGCTCTCCTCTCCCCGCTGCCCCTCCCCCTGGATGTTGTAAGCCCATGACAGATTCAATTTCTGGAGAACCTACAAGAATGAAGCTGGAGAAAGACACAGGGCTCTTACTGTGTGATGCTCTGTCATGAGAGTCCCCTCTGTCCCCATTCACCAGAATTCCAGATGGCCAGTGCCTGCCAGAAGAACCAGGGTCCCTAGGGGCCGGGCAGGCAGAGCTAGGTTGTCGCTGGCGGGTGCCAGGCGCTGCAGCTGGCGGTGGCACAAGTGACGAGGAGCTCCAGGCCCCTGGCCTCACATCCCTGGGGACAAGATGAGTTCAGCTCCTTCCCCCTGCAGCTCACCCTGGCCCCAAGCAACAGCATTAAAGTACCAATGCTGCCAATGGAAGGGTAGCAGATGGTACCATCTTCCCGAGTCATCTTTTGGGGGCTTTTGGTGACCTTGGTGGCTGATGTGGTGACATTTCTTCCACCTGAGGAGCAGAGCAGGAGCCTGTCTAGTGGTCCGGGTGCTGTGCACGGGACAAGGGGCAATGCAGGTCCCTCACCATGCCTTCAATCGACCTTTGTTGAACCCCTACCATGTGTCAGCTCCCTGCCCACTCCGGTGTTCAGTCCTTTGTCGGTTCATCTGGCAAATAGCCGTAGCACTGGGCTGTAGTGCCCGGCGCCACACCGCCCTGGCGCATCTCCCTTCTTCCCGCCACCTTCCCTTCTCCTGCCTCCAACAGAGTGAGCTGTGACTCCGGCTGCATGCCCGAATGGGAAGGG